ACCTATGAGGCTGCAGATCATCATAAATAGAAACCTAGATTTAAACAGGAAAAAACCAACTGAGCGCAAAGCCCTAGTTCACAATGGTGCCCTGCAAATACATCAGATCAGTTATACAGTAAAGTGTAAATATTCTTTAAATGTGAAATCAACATCACACAGAGACACGGTGGACACATTAAGAAAAACAGGAGCATTCTTTATATGAAACATCATTCAGAAGATGCTTAAACTGTTCCAGAGAGGAAGGATAAAAATGTGTCTAATTTAAGGAGTCCTGAAGCTTATTCCTCCTATTGGGAGCATAAAAAGTGAAAGCCGTTTTCCTCAGTTCTGTGTGCATAAATGGGATGTTCCAGGTAATGAATAATAAGAGACTGTGGAGCCTCTCCAGTGTGTGACTGCAAAAATATAGCACAGTTTCACACACCGAACCTCGAACTGAACTACAGGAAGTTCTCTTTGATGCAGCTTCTGCTCTTAAGACTAAAAGCTTCCTTTCCTGAACCCAGATGCTCGACTTAAAGGGTGTCTGAATTCCACAATCTAGCAACTGATGATCAGGATCTAAAAGAATGACATGAATCTCTGCACCATCATTGTTCCCACAATCCTTGATGACTGCGTCCTCTTGCCCTGCTCCACTGACACTAAAATAGAAGAAAGCCCTCTCCCATCCCCCCCTTCCCATCCCACAGAGGGAGTAATCACCCTCCGGCCCCTCATCCCTCTCAATAACATCCTCATGGTCAATCTGCTGGACAGAGAAATCCCCCCCTCTCACCAGATTACAGTGCCGGCCGCCCCGGGATTAGGTTTTAAACAGCGACAGGACCCGTGTTATTCTCATCATTTCCACTTCATGTATGCAGCCGAGAGCCGAGCGGCAAAACAGCCACACCAAGCACATCTTTTCCCTTCTTCACGTAGCCCCCCATCCCATCCCCGGCCGGGCAGAAGCCCATGGTTTAAGGCTTTTTGTAGCAAAGTGGATGTAGAAATACAGAAAGTAATGTAATGACCTAAAATGACACTGACGGGCTGAATCCAAAACGTCATACTGCACCTCTACAGCGTTCATTGGAGTACGTACTGTATTATTCATCAGTTAAAATACATTAAATGGGTTAATACAATGTGTTATTCAGCAATTTATCTCTTCCATTTGAACCCATTTTCATGGTTTGCTTCAATAATTGTATTTTTGATATTAAGACATATAAGAAATACAGTTTAATCAGATCTATGACCTCAGTGAAAGCATAAAGGAGGAAGTTTTAATTGTGGATGTGTGTTTATTACATTTTATGAAGCAACAATGCTATAATAGTTTATGGCAACTATTGATTTGTTCTACTGGCAAGGAGATAATACATTTTATAGGACGCTTTCCAAATCCAATCGGAAAAGAAAAATGTTACGTGTTAACCGTTTTCATCTCTTTAATACAAGCTCCACGTGGGGTGACAGTAGGCGTTAAGGAAACACACACTCTTCCACAATGGCTTGATAAGCCTGTGACGTCACTACAAACTGTAGTTTACACACGGCGAGCACATCCCGTGCAGATGTTCTGTAGCAACGTCCCTAATCCCGACACAAAGGCGAGAGGGAAACACAGACATATAATCCAGTTTCTCCTCCTGCAGCCGCAAAACATAATACAGAGAAACACAGCAGCAACCTTCATCTTCAGATTACACATCCTTCATTCAGTTCGGAGATTAATTATCAAATATGCCGTTTCCTGTAATGTTCCTCATTTTAAATCTTTATAAAGATGAGTTTCCTGAGATAATGCTGCTCTAATGTTCAAGACCGCCATGTTTCTACGGTGGCCCAGAACAGACAAAGTGAACACTGGCTCTATATAAGGCCATGTACGGCCACCATAGCTTCTCCTTCACACTTGGCACGGTAAGGGTAAGACGAGGGCGTTGCAATCAGCGACCACACTGCTAGTTGCCACTGAATCATACACACTGGTCCTTTAAGTGAAACTACCAGAACAACTATGTAAAAATACTCCCATTCAGTACAAAAGTATTATCAGAGAAATGTAGAAATAAAGTTTATCACTATATAGTACCTGGCAGCTTCAGTGTGGTACCCCACAGTTTTAATTACCTTACTTAAAGTCGGTCTTAGCTGTGGCTACAACTGTACCTCACTCACTGGTCAAGAAGCACTTATTTAAGGCTGCATTTATCTGGTCATGCTGGTTTGCTACGTAGCAGCAAAGTGCGGGGAAACCTGGTTGAATGGACTGCAGGGACCATGTGAGGCGGCAGATTTGTTAAAATCTCCATCAGCTGATGAACAGCAGCAGGTAGCGGAGAGGAAGTGGTGAACTAATTTATCTTTTCACAGCTTGTAAGTGAGAAGTGACAGTAGAGAACCTTTTCTATTTTAATTCAGGCACAACAAGCTGTGTAAAATATGTTTGTGTTAGTCTACACCGGTGGTACATTTTGTACAGACCGGTTGATTCAGGTTGGAATAAGCAGCATGTGCGGTTTTGTGTGCTGAATTGAAATGAAGTGGAAATCAAACCCAACTGGCTCCAAGTGGCTCTCTTGCCGGACAGGTTTTGGAGCATGCAGTGAACCACAATGGCTTTTAAAAGGTGACTGGACCGGCCTTTAAGCACACACAACTCTAAATAAAATACAGAACCTGACAACAAACAGACCTGTCGTTATTTGACTGGTCTCGCATTCACTTCTTCGGCCCTTTTTTTCCCCTCTTAACATTTTCTCGCAGTACAACCTGAGCTTGAGAGATTCGGGCTGGCTTATGAAAAGATGGTGTTGTCTAAAAGGAGGAAGGACACTTAAAAACAGAAAAATCAGGACATCAACTTCATACAAAACACAGTTTATTCGACAGTGTCTAGGTCCAAGTACCAACAGACCCCATACAAAATAAAAAAAAGAAAAGAAAACAAATGCTACAAACTTCCAAATAACAGGGATAACTTCCATCTACACAAAACTTCTCCTTAAAAATACATTACCATAAACACAAAAAAGTAGCGATTAAAGATAATATATGTGAGGGGAAACCTGTCATATTTAAGTGATATTACATAACAAGCCGGGGAAGATGTCGAATGGGGAAAGGAGGGCGCGATGAAAGAGAGCGCGAGTGAATGACTGTACGTGTGTGTTTGTTTATTTTCTTCTCTCCGGCAGACCGGGGGAAGAGGGCAACAGTCAGTGATGCAGCAGTCACGTGGGCAGGAAAAAGAAAAGATAAAGAAAAAAAAGAGAGAAAGGAAATGGGAACGAGAGGTAGCGAAGGGGTGCGCAGAGAGGTAGCAGATAGCGAGAGGAAGATTTCTAGAAGAGGTAGCTAGCGGATGAACGAGGAAGATGTAGCAGAGATACTAACAGTGCTAGCGAAGGGGGAGGGCAGGGGGGAGGAGGGGGAGTCGTTTGAGTTAAGACTTCACATTAAAACGACCTTATTGAGCTTATTTTCAACCTGTGTGTCGACCGTAGGGGGGTGAAGGATGACGAGCGCCACGTTGGCTTGTAGAGTCAGATTACACTTTTTATTTTAAGCCAACATGCACTTGAATTCAATGTCAGTTAAATGATGGGAAATGAATATAATTTAAGATGTTTCTTTTATATTTGTGTAGGGCGGAAAATAAGTAGTTTTAGTTGGAAAAAAATCTTGTTACGGTCCTTTAATAGCCATTCTGGAGCTTTTGACTTAATCACATGGTATTCCTCAGCAGTTAGCTTTTTTTAGATTTTTAGATATAGATATAATGGAAAGCTCCAGGATGGCTACTTACTAAAGGGTCTGTAGTTGGGCTGAAATATCTGCTGGTTCCAGCTTTAAATCTGAGGGTTTGCTGCTGTTCTGTTTCATCAATGCTGGTTGGACTAAACAAGCAACCGGGGCACATGTGACGTTTTTATTGAATAAACAATGGATCAAGAAAATAAATAGGGCCGATTGTTTTCACAAATAAAAGATTAATAGTAGACAAAGAAAAGCTGCAAATGTTCATATTCGAGAAGCTAGAACCAGAGAATCTTTCAGCATTTGTATCGGATTTTTTGGTTACGCACCTTTTTATTTACTGCAACATCACAGGACAAAGGATTTGAGAACTAAACTGTGAAATCGCGATTGCTTCTCGTTGGTTGGCGCGGACTCTTTCAGTGTACTTACAGTGTACTGGGATGACGGTATTGCTTAGTTTTCCCGTGGCAAGTGGCAAAAATAGCATCAATGCGTGTGTGAAGTGGGGTCAGCGAGGTAGGCAGCACTAAGCATAAGGAAGTTGGGGGTAGAGGAGCTGGGGGGGCGGGGTTTGTTCGCTACAGTATCAGCACCTAAAAACATCTAGAAGCCCACCGCGCTGAGGAAGAGCGTCGTTCGTGTTCTGATGTTTCGGTCGAGCCGCATCTCAGCGTCTCCCTCTCTGTAAAGGCTGTGTGAAGGTCAGCAGGAGATTATATGTAAGTGAGTGTGTGTGTGTGTGTGTGTGTGTGTGTGTGTGTGTGTGTGTGTTGTCCAGTGCTTTGTGG